AAGGCGCGCAGGGCAGCTGGGTGCCCTCGGGTGCCAGGATCGGCAGTCTGCTGGCCTGTCACCCGTTTGTTCTAACACTTTGAGAAGGCCCACTGTGTGCCAGGCCCTCTTCCAGGCGCGGGACCCCAGCCGGCCAAGTCCTAGCCCCGGCAGACCTCTTTGGAGAGTGCTTTGGCCGCGGGGGAACTTACACAGAGGCAGAAGGGTGCCTGGGACCGCGTAAAGGGCTTGGAGACAGTACACCCAGGGTTCCCGGGTTTGGGTGGAGTCTTTTCCATCCCTTAGGCCACGTGCCGAGGAATAGAAGAAACCTAGTGTCCAAAGATTGGGAGGAGGGAACCCATATTCATTAATTTATTCGCTCATTCGTTAAAATATTTATTGAGCACATTCTATGCGCCAGGCACTGTGCTGGGCCGGGTAGATACAGACAAGGTCCCCACTGCCCTGGAGATGGCATGCTGAAGATAGAAATAACAAGCAATTACGATCACATTATTTAATAATCAAAGCCAGGAAGAAAATAAAACAGATCCCAGTAGAGTGATGAGATGACATTATCTGGCGGCTTAGGGAGAATCTGGGGTGGGGGCACATAAGCTCCATCTGATGGACTAGAAGGCATTGGCCATGGGAAGAGATAGGTAGAGTGTTCCTGGCAGAGGCAGTAACAGGCATTCTTCATTCAGGCACCTGGACCACACTCAGTGGGAAGTGCAGCTGTGCTCTTCTCCAGCTCCATTTCACAGGTTGGAACACTGAGGCCCAGGAAGGGCAATGACTTCCCCAAGAAGACCCGATTCCAAATGAGTTGTTTTTTTCAATTCTATTTTCCATGCTTTTGTATCCCTTGAGACCTTATGAAATATGTATTATTACTTACATTTCACAGATAGGGAAATTGAGGCTCTGAGAGTGGAAGAGAGGTGCCCAAGATCTTCCAATGATACAGGGCAAAACTGGCCTGAAAGCTATGCGAATAAAAGCGGGATATTCAGGAGACAGCCTTCTGGATCTCCGGTGCCTTCTGTTTACAGTACATGACCCATCCCAGAGGGTTCTCGGGTCTTTAAAGTCAGCTCCAAGCTTCCACTTCCGGGAAACCTGATTCCCCACCCCACCCTGACGTCATATGTCTGAACATAAGATTGCCTTGTATTTGAGTTACAAATTTCTCATATTACAGGTGCTCGCTCAGTGACTTAATTTTTAACCCCAAAGTTCTGTTTGAGAAAGGTCCGTTAGCATGATCCTCCTTTTTTTTTTTTTTTTTTTTTTTGAGACAGTCTCGCTCTGTCACTCAGGCTGGAGTGCAATGGCACAATCTTGGCTCACTGCAACCTCTGCCTCCTGAGTTCAAGCGATTCTCCTGCCTCAGCATCTCAAGTAGCTGGGATTACAGGCACCCACTACCACACCCCGCTAATTTTTGTATTTTTAGTAGAGATGAGGTTTCACCATGTTGGCCAGGCTGGTCTCAAACTTCTGACCTTAAGCAGTTCCTCTGCCTCAGCCTCCCAAAGTGCTGGAATTACAGGCCTGAGCCACCTCACCCGGCTGATCCTCCTTTAATCTATGTGAGATTGGGTTGCATATGGAGGTTGCAATTTTATAAAGGGAATCGAGGGAATTTTCCTCAGATAAGGCAATCCAAACAAACATGACTTTGTGACGGCAAAGGTTAGAGGTTGTTGTGAATAGGCCTTTTAAAGGCCACTTTCAGATACCTTAGTAAGTGGCCGGGTTGTACAGATCACATATGCTCACCTGCAGCAAATGAATCCCCACTGTCAAAATGTGATGCGGATTGGACCTGTGATGTGGAGACACAGTGCTCAGCAGTTGCGTGACACATGGATTCGAAAGCGCTGTGTGTTAGCATCTGGATCTCTGAGAGTAGGATGTGCTTTAGTAAAAAGCTGCCTGCCCCCCACTCCACACGATAGTGACACTAGTGTCAAAGCCACACAGAAATGAATTGGAATCAAATTGTTTCCTGAAATTTGAAACTGACAAAAGCGATCTTTCCATATTAGTATTTTATATGGGAATAATTGTAAATATGTTTATATAACTAAAGTAATAAATGAAATATTATAAGTAGATGTCTATTTCATCTTCACCCCATTAAGTTTATATTATTCAGCAATAAAGTGCATCTTCTCACAGGGAGAAGGGGGAGTGCCTGTAACCTTTATTTGGATTGCCTTATATTTGGGCACATACAGTAGTTGCTTACCCCTCTGAGGTCCCTCTGCACTTTGTGCTGTCCCTCAATTACACCCTCAAGACAGGTGTTGTAGCTGTTACCTTTCTATCCCCTCCACTGCCAGACAGGAGGCTCCTGTGGGCAGGAAGCAAGCTGTAATCGTCTATGAAACCCCAGTGCTCAGAACAGGGCTGGCAGACACAGGTGCTCAATACACATTTGTATAAATTGACTGCAGAGATGCATTGCCCTGAGCTGAGAGAAAAACAGGAAAGAAGAAGAGAGGGAAGAAAGAAGGAATGGAGAAAGGGAGAAGGGGAATAAGAGAGGGAGAGAAGAAGGGAGAGGAGAGAAAGGGCTGTGAGGGAATGAGTTTTAGCTGTTAGTAGCCCTACACCCTGGTTTGATGAATAGTGATATGTGTAGGGAAAGTAAGCAAATGAGCAAAATGGGGATGCATTAACAGAAATATAGTCTTTAGGACAAAGGAGGGGCTTGTTGCTCCAGTGCATGTTGGTTAAACCATTCCAGAAGTCACTTTGGCTCTGGGCACCACACTAGAGAAGGAAGACAAAGCTGGTCCACAAAGGTGGAAGGGTGGCTTTGGGAGAGAGGGAGATCCCTGTTCCAGGAGGTGTGCAAATAGAAACCATATATTCCCTGCCAGCCAGTTGAGGAGGGGCTTCTTGAGTCACGTGTCTTCTAAAGTATACCTTCCAGTACAATCATCTATTGAGCCCCTACAACCCACATGAAGCCATGGGGGTGATTTATGGTTTGAGGTTTACAAGTCTGATTGGTCCTGCCTCTACTGACACTGAGAGGATGCAGAGGTGCTCCCCTGTCTTTGCAGCTTGTGTACCAAGCTGATCTCCTGGGATGCGGGCCTCCCATTTTTGTCGCCTCTTCCAATCTCACCTCTTCCCACTAGCTCCCAAGCAGGGCTGGCCGGGACACGGTGGAACTGCTGTCTGTATGTGTTAGGGGCCTGGGATCCAGGCACTATGTCTAATAGCAACAAGGGAAGGGAAGGGACTGTTGGACCCTGAGTGCCTGCTGCACGGGAGCCTTTATAACCACAGGAATGGAATCTGAATCTCTTCCTTCTCCAAATATTATAGTCATACCACATCCAAGGAGATAGGCTCTAGCATCCCCATTTTTCCAAACGAGGACACCAAGCCTCAGAGAGGTAAAGTCACGTGCCTAAGGCTCTGCAGCTGCTAAGAGGAGTTGGGATGTGAACCTATGTGTGCCCATATCCAAGCCTCATCTTCTTAGCAGTGTCCCTTAGAGAGGACAGTTCTGCCCAGGCGCCAAAGCAGCAGGCCCCCGGGGCTGGAGAGGAATGGGTGGGGTCTCAGAACCAGAACCTGCAGACACTAACGGCTTCCATAGAGCCTGTGGGACAGAGCATGGGGTGGGGACATCCTCGGGCCCGGGCAGCAGCCTCCAGTCACAGCCGCTCCTGGATTTGACTTTCACACACATACACATCTCCACCAATCACATCCAGAGTTGCACAGACTGTGCCACCCTCCTTGAGCACCAGTACCCATACATGGGTTGCAGGGGCCTCTGGGTGGGGCTGTCTCTCTTGATTATGCAGCGTCAGCAGAGCCTCCCAGGGCGTTAGGTAGTGGGAGCGCCCTGGCCAGGCTCCCTGGCATTGCTCCCTGGGGGCATGCCCTGGCAGGCTCTGCCCCATGCAATAACAGGCCATCAGGTGCATGTTGTAAAAAGGGTGCACACTGAGCTGCCGGGCCAGGCTGGGGGTATGCCCACTGTGGACACCTGCGTGAAATGACCCCTGCCTTCAGGCTGTTTGCCCAGCCTCCTCCTCACAACTCAAGAGCCGAGTGTCTGGAGTCACACTGCAAAGCTCGGTTTTAAAATGGCTGCAGGAGGGCTCTGCTTTTCTGCAAACCCTGACTATGAAACCTTCCATTTCCAACAGGCCTTTACCTGAAAAAGCATCATTTTTCAGTTGCTGGTTACAAAGTGCCAACCGCATAGTGGGCCCCACGTTGC